TTACAATTTTTGTTGAAAATGATCCCAATCCAAATTTGAATGCGTATAAGACCAGCTCACAGAAGCCAGTTCAGCATCGATAAATTGGAAGAGCAAAGGGGCAAGTAGATGCAAGTGACTCGAAACAAAATCTAAGGCGCATTAGTTTCAAGATTGAATTTTAATGACCTTTGCCCCCATTTTCACTATGATCTCTAACCTTGAGATTCTAGCTGGCCAACAGCCAAAATCAGAAGCACAATTAATAAGTTATAACTCGGCATCTTCCCGGTGTAGCATCTTATGGTTAGATTGCTACGCTACTGAACCATAGCATTAAATATAAAGGAGAAGCTATAAATAATTAAAAATGAAAGAACCAAGAAAACAAGGAATGAAATAATTGCTGACGACTTGTTTACCAAAAAAGTAAGGACAAAAGTTACTGAAAGTACTCCAAAAAATCATACAACCAGTTTATTGCGTATTAAAAACTGCTTACCCAAAAAAACTCCCTTCAAAATCTAGAATTGAACCCAATTGACACTTAAATTTGGTACTGCCAGCTCTTCATCTGTTTTTAAGTCCATTAATTTTCTAGTCAAACATTTCCTTGTTACTAATTAATCATATTCTTCCATAATCAACATGTTTCTTGATCTAATCAGCACCAATGCCTATGTAAAGCACAACCACAATCGACCGTTACTATATTCCTAAATGGACTAAATGATCCATGAGATTAATAACTGGAGCTTGATCTACTTAAAACCGATTTCTTATCATGCAAAATATAACAAGAAACTAACGGAGAACCACAATCAATCAAGTTACTTAATAAACCACAATGCAGAGATTGGCTGACAGAACAATCTCAAGCAAAAGTAAATAATGCATATTGGTGCTTCCAGGAGGGTATGGGTGGAAGCATATGGGTGTTAGGTGGAAGGGTATGGATGTTAGGAGGAAGCAAGCGGAGCTAATTCTGCTTACTATCTTTTCGGTTGTGTGGAAAGAAAGGAACAAAAGGATGTTTGATGGGATTGATGATGTTAATGGTTTTGACTTACGCAAGAATAGATAGTTTCGGACCCTTAGTTTTTTGTTGTTGGGTCATCCTCTTTATTCTTTAGAGAATTTGGGAAATCTTATTGACACTTTGATTTAATTGAAAAATTTTTGTAAATAGACGAGCACCTACTTGGTGCTAATATTAATATATACTATACACTTTTTATTTTTAAAAAATGCATACTAGTGCTTCCTTTATGCCCAACATTTTATCTAACTGTCATTAGTACCACTTCTCATTTACTTATAGATACTAACAGAACCAATTGTTTACATGTCGAATTTCACTAATTTAAGGGCATAAAGCTCAGATCATGCTGATAAGCCAAGCAATAAGTTTGGTAGCAACCAACTTGATTTTTCTCCATTCCTCTAATCAATTCATCATAATTGAAAACACCAATGTTCTCACCTGTTAGAACTTTCAGAACTATAAGTTTCTTGAGTAAAGAGTCTTTTGAAAGCTGTAGGTGTAGGTGTAAACAGAAGTTTTACAGATTAAACTTATTTTGGATTTATTCAATTACACACATTTCTGGACAGCTCTAAGAGAGGGGTAAATAGTCAATTTTGAAAGAACTTATTGTCAACCTCTTTCAAATATGAATCTATTTGATTCAGAAGAGAAGAACTTGCATCAGTATCTCAATTTCAATTCAAACATGAGTTTGATTCACACTCAATGATTTGAGAAATATTTACCATCCGAAAATAGGAAAAAAGAGAGTCTTTGTCAAAAGAAATGTGTTGAAAAAAGACAAATGGATAGAACCTTCCAACGAGATAGTGCTTTTTCAACTCTCTCAAAATAGAATCTAGTCCAAACATAAATGTCATGGTTTCCTTACTTCAACAGGATACAAATATCTCAATTTGATATTTTTAGATACTTTTTCAGATCTATTGTCTAAATCAATCATTTGAGCAAGCTAACAGTACACCTGATATAAACTTTTACCCTA